GGGCTGTCCCGAATACCATTCCGAATATTCGTTCCGCGGGGAGGGGGGCGTAGTAATCAGCAGCGAACCGCTTCGACACGTGTATTTCGGTTTATTTACAGCATTCTTTTTGTTATTCTACAGTATTGTTGTTTTATAGTTAATGTATACAACCCAATTTGTGTTCTTTGAAATGGAAAAGGATATTGCATTGTGTTTGTTACTTTCGTTGCAGTTGTATATGTCTTAAGTGTAATTTGGCTTGGCTTTCTATTTTGTATGGACATGCTTTTATTTTATGGAGAGTTAGCGCAGTTGACAGGAAGTTGTTGTCTACATATAAAGACAGAGAAAGTAAACAATAACGTTTATGGTTAAGTGTTAGCACCCCCCAAAGAGGCACAAGCTCTTACGTTGATATTGGAGATTTCAATAAATTAAAAAAAAATTAAAAACGAATATCCGAATAACGAAATTGAAACCCGAATAGTACTCCAACGAACGAATATTCGGATACAGCCCTATAACATATGCATATGGTTGTGACATCACGTTGTGTCACGTGACTTCAATTTTGAATTGAGCCAGCCCTTATAGATAATATCTCTTTACATTAGTGATGGGAATTACGGCTCTTTTTAGTGAGCCGGATCATTTGGCGCGACTAAGAGCCGGCTCTTGTTACTACAGTTTACCACGGAGCCTCAGTTTTGCCGATGCGAGGCTCGCAGTTCACGCGTGTGCTCCACCTCTCATTGCGTCCAAATCGTGCAGTCAAATCGTATTGTCAGAACAAGCTGACATACTTACTTGACATAACTGAGATGGGGGAAAAAATGGACTCATCATTCTCCTGTGTACTCCCATACACACATGCTGTGCCTCACCATGTAGCTTTTGGTATAGTAATATTATTCTTTCCACTATTTGTATAAACTAGACAGAGTATTTGAATAAGTCAACCCAGTAAAGAGAAACTATTGTTACTCTTCTGCAGAGCACCCAGTTTGACATATAATGGTAGTGGTTTAATATACAGTGGGGCAAAAAAGTATTTAGTCAGCCACCAATTGTGCAAGTTCTCCTACTTAAAAAGATGAGGACTGTAATTTTCATCATAGGTATACCTCAACTATGAGAGACAGAATGAGAAGAAAAAAAAATAAAATCAAAAAATCACATTGTCTGATTTTTAAAGAATTTATTTGCAAATGATGGTGGAAAATAAGTATTTGGTCAATAACAAAAGTTAATCTCAATACTTTGTTATATACCCTTTGTTGGCAATGACAGAGGTCTTTCTCCTCCAAACACGTCTAGTTGAGTTTTTACCAAAAAGTTCTATTTTGGTTTCATCTGACCATATGACATTCTCCCAATCCTCTTCTGGATCATCTAAATGCTCTCTAGCAAACTTCAGACGGGCCTGGACATGTACTGGCTTAAGCAGGGGGACACGTCTGGCACTGCAGGATTTGAGTCCCTGGCGGCGTAGTGTGTTACTGATGGTCGCCTTTGTTACTTTGGTCCCAGCTCTCTGCAGGTCATTGACTAGGTCCCCCCCGTGTGGTTCTGGGATTTTTGCTCACCGTTCTTGTGATCATTTTGACCCCACGGGGTGAGATCTTGCGTGGAGCCCCAGATCGAGGGAGATTATCAGTGGTCTTGTATGTCTTCCATTTTCTAATAATTGCTCCCACAGTTGATTTCTTCACACCAAGCTGCTTACCTATTGCAGATTCAGTCTTCCCAGCCTGGTGCAGGTCTACAATTTTGTTTCTGGTGTCCTTTGACAGCTCTTTGGTCTTGGCCATAGTGGAGTTTGGAGTGTGACTGTTTGAGGTTGTGGACAGGTGTCTTTTATACTGATAACGAGTTCAAACAAGTGCCATTAATACAGTTAATGAGTGGAGGACAGTGGAGGCTCTTAAAGAAGAAGTTACAGGTCTGCGACAGCCAGAAATCTTCTTGTTTGTGAGACTGACCGTTGAGCGGCCCAGACCAAGCAAGTAGGCAGAGGCAGAACGTCCAAAAATATAACCCGACGTGGGCATTTATTAAAATCATGTGCCCAAAGTTCACAGCCTCAATCCTGCTGTTCTCCTTGCACACATCCTGCAGCCACAAGGATCTCACACACCCTACCAGCCTCTCAACAGACAGGGAAACAGAGCCTAAATACACACACTAATCAGCACAACAAGACACAGGTGAGGGGGGAGGAGACAACACAGGACACCAGGTGCACACAATCATCAGCCACAGACAACATATTATTTGCACCCTGATTACTCTCAACCGCTGTCATCCTTACACCAGCATAACTCCTCTCGGCGCTCTCGCAAACTCCCCTATCTTTTCAGGCGGAGCCGAGGACCCGACCAGCACCTGCCAGGCAACATTCCAATAAATACGGTTTAATCAGTTAAAAGATACTACCTCAATAATTAGTATGAATTATGTGCAAATATGTAATGTCAACTGTACTGTGCAATCACGCTAATAAAGTGCAATATTACCCGGCCTGAAGCCGTCAGTCCATAGTGACCAAATACTTATTTTACCGAGGAATTTATCAATTCATTCATTAAAAATCCTACAATGTGATTTCCTGGATTCTTTCCCCCCATTCTGTCTTGCATAGTTGAAGTGTACCTGAAAATGACAGGCCTCTCTCGTCTTTTTAAGTGGGAGAACTTGCACAATTGGTGGCTGACTAAATACTTTTTTGCCCCACTGTATATGTATAAGCAGGGCAGAGGAGTTCCACATCTACATGTCAAAGTCTATGATGAATATTTGAGCAGAAACATCCAGTGACTTGTAGCCTTGAGTTAGTTAAGGAAAATGAAATGCATTTTTAATTCAGGACACAACTTTAGAAATTAATTGCTTTCAGGAATGGAGAAGGCAAACAAAATCTCACTTGAATGTCAACCAAAGCCTCTCTGGTCCTGGAAATAATCAACAAATATTCGGAAATAATGAACACAGCCAGATAACAGGCAAGTCATATAAGGGGGCTCGTCTACATATTTGTGTTTGCATATTGCAAAATAAGCTTGACATTTTGGTGTTTTGAAATCCAATTTTCATTCTTCGAATTGCTAGTTTATTTAACGTCATGTTTAGCTGGAGAAGATTTCAAGCTCTGTGCAGAGGAAAATCAATAAGAGCATCCAGACGACAACAGCAGTAATCATGTGTGTCTGGGAGTGAGGGCCACTTCCAATCAGGATCATGTGTGCCTGGAGTTGTACAAAATCTGTTTTTCTTTTCTCACTGTCAAAAAAGGTGAGGAAATTATAATATGTGATGCAGCATAATCATAAAAAACCTGCTTTTTAGAGCGATGCAGACCAATCTTGCGTTTAAGAGTCAACAAAAGGTACCAGAATAAATCTTTGAATAGCGGCATGTTTAACATTCTTGGGAAACACATTATCAACTGGAGTCAGGTTTATGTGTTAATCTATGCAAAAACTAATGTTATCCACAGCTATAAACACTTAAGAATTCCTGAGAGTGTTAATGATTGTAAAATGCACGTAGGGACTCTCAGCTAGCAGATCAGGGTTACACATGGGGTCAAAAGAGGGGGTTTGGATGTTGCAAGATAGGGATACATATATTTTCCATTATCTGATACTCCTTCTGATAACCAAGTGAACCACACTAAAACGTAAACTACATTACACTTAGAACAACAGATGTAGATTGTAGACTTAGCTGAAAGGTTTTTTGTGAGAAACAAAATCCCCTTTTCTATCTTTTCATTGACATCTAGCTAGCCAAAGAACTACAGTTTGAACTGATGGCAAAACGAATTCAGAGTTGATTGTAAGAAGGATACCATAAATAATAGTGGCTGACCAGGTTGTTAATAAGTAATAGAAAAGCTGTAAGCAAACAAGAATATGTGACACTTGGGACCCCTCATCAACAGTCAGGTCCTTGTGCAAATTCCAGTCTTAAATCAGGATCAAGTTCCTCTGAACCGTGTGGACCCTCTCCTAAGAGGAAGCCTTGGCCCTTGGCTGTAAATGCAATAAAGTTATCAACATAATTGAAGTGGCAAGTGTCACCCTGAGCAAGATGGAGCACCTGTCCTTGGAAATTAATACATGAATGCATCAGTCGTGCCGTCTGGTTGGATGCCACAGAGTATAGGACAGCAGCGAGGGGATGCTTTGCAACCAGACGGCGGACACTTGAGAGCCCATGTGACACAGTTACAAAGCGGAATAATCCTCATTGTGATGACAGGCACACCAGACCGGATCATTTGGTTTCCGGGTTATAAAACAGACCCCTGTTATGATGCGCACTGGCTGTAATTTGCAGGAGAACCTTACAATCCAGTGTGCATGTTGTGTACTAACTCAGCAAATTGGGTTAAACTCTGAGAGGATTTTTTTCCTGCAGGAAAAACAGTCAATCCATCATATCGACAACCGCTGAAGCGATAATCTTCATTTAAGGAACAACGATCATTTCAACTTCCGCCACTCACACAGGATTTTCAATGAATTAAATCACGCAGAGGACAGAGAAATCATACATTACTTATAAATGTTTCCCTACAACCTAAACAAAGTTGTCCTTGCAGTTGTAGTCTACTTATACCGCTCACTACAGCTATTATTCAGCGTTTTTGACGGGAGCATCGTTTAACAAAAGTGGTCGTACCGGACCAGCTGGATGCGTTTCAGTCCGTTCTCTTGTTATCAGGCCACTGAGCTCATATTCAAAGTATTAGACCAATATAATCCTGTCGTTGATCAATATGGGGAATCATTCTCGAGGAGCTAACGATCACAGGCATCTAAACAGTAGTTAAAATCGGTGATCAAAACACTCGCTGATTACTTTTAAACAGTACAACAAAAGAAAAACACATATGCAATTTTGAATGACCCCCCCTTTACAGAGATTTGCACATCCCCTTCTGTCTTAGCTTGTCACTGTAAGCAATTGTAACCAGGAAACCTGAAAAACCTGACAGACATGAGCTAGCTTACCATGGATCAAACTCGTGGATGATGCTCTCGAACCGGATCACCGCGAAAAGTCTTGAGCTGAATCCGGCCAGGCAGGCCAGGAAGAGAATGCTAAAGGAGAGTAAAGACTGCCACCCTGCCGGCTGTGTGAGTCCACCAGACAGGCCTACTTTCCCCCCTCCCCCTCCTCCACCCGCGGCGCCAGGTCGGCTGTTCCCGTGCACCGAGCCACCGGCATTGGTGGACGCTTTGTGCTTGCCGTCGCCTGCTGCGTGGTGCTCCGCCATTTCTGCGTGCGGTGTCGGTTGGATTTGCTAGGTCGTCCCTCCTGCCACGCTCCCGTGTCTCCCTCCACTCCGCGCTGTCGTAAACTCCCTTAGTTTGTGTCCGCTCTTCTTAGGTTTCCTATCTTCTGAGCCACCCTGGTATATAAATATGTTTTAATTCAGTGAGAGTACTCCGAGAAACAGCCGTTACATCCCGAAACGCATACTCATGCGCCACATACCGAGCCTGCAAGAGTCAATTCGCTTCACGATTGAACGCCGGTGGAAAGGGGCGGGAGGGACGCGGTGGGCGGGGCGTCAGAGAGCTTCAGCGACCTGTCACAGATCGACAGGTACGAAGGGGCGGTGGTTTACGTCTTTAAGCCAATCACAGCGCAACTTTGGCTAGATAGACGGATGAGTCCACCAATGTTACCATAGTAAATGATGTGCTACTGATTGAAATAAGGATTATCCCCTGTTCTGAATGAAGATTGAGTCATTCTATTGCTCGCTATAAATAAAACCTTAATTACTCGGATTAAAGTAGGCTTCATATAGAATGATTCACTTGCCATTCCCATAAAGAATAACAAAGCAAAAGAAACGTGCACATAGTTCAAAACCTAAAAGAGAACGTAAGCTATACTCAGGTGTGTGAAGATAAATGTTCTCTGTGAGTGCAATATTTATGTTGCCCTTGGATGTTCTGGACTGGGAGGTAATAAAGATTGATGTGTCTCATCATTATTATGTCCCCCAGCAAAGACAAGAACACAGCATTCATCATTCTCTTAAATTCAGGATGTACTTTCCCAACTTCCCCCGAAGCCTTGAAAGCCTATACTGGAATAATACAACTTTGTTTTAACATTTCAAACAAATGCTCTAGTTTTAGATTTATAGTATACATCAATTTTGGGCTTGCACATATAACAATGAGGCAGCGGTAGGAAGTGTTATTGATTTATCTCAGTTCCCAAAGGTAGAAAAACAAAAGTGCAACAGCTGTAAAAGTGTAGATAGAAAGAATAGTGTTACAAGTCACAGTGAAGAGAATACATTTTCCTCATCCCCTCTTACATTTTCTGCATATATAGTAGGCCTAACACTTTCACATACATCAGAATTAGAACAGAACACCTGAAACCAATACTGGAACTCACTAATAAGAAGTCAAAGAAAAAAAGGACTGAAAGCTTAATTTAATGAGTTATTTCTTATATCATTCAACACTTATTCTTTATTTTGTGTTGGTCTCGGATTGTGAAGTCTCAAAAATATAATAGATTTTTGACGAAAGTATTAACTTGTTCAAGAACAACTTTTTATTTGATCTTAACTACGATGGAGAGGTTAGATATCGGTAGTTATTAAGAACGGACCGATCCATATTACTTTAGCTGAGGTAAAGTAGCTGTGAACAAAGAGTGTTTTACAATATTAAATAATTCTGACAGGTATATGAAAACAGTTTTAAGCAAGCATGCAGAGGGTTTTATCTCTAGGTTTTGACTCAGAGACACTCCTTCTAACCACCTTTAAATCCACCAGACAAAAATAATATTGACTATGCTCAGTGCTTTCCAAAACTTTATTGCTCCTTGTCTGATTAATATTCATACTAATTGTTGTTTTGCATTAACCTATCCCACTGCACGGTGCTTCATCTTCCATAAAGGTTACCCCTGGAGCAGTGTACAATCAGAGGACCGGTTTGTAAACAAGCAGCAATGTGATTTAATTACTGACTTTAAAAATCATGAATTCCAATTAGAATTTGTTTGTGTTAATGTATCACAACCAATTTTAATACCCATCGCTTTTGGTAATTTATGGGAATGTTTAAACAGATGTTGCATGTTACTAATCAGAACGTATTGGTTTTAAAGGGAATTCATATTTTTTCTGTTGAAAGTATAAAACAAGTTGTTCATCATATCCAGTTTTAGCCCCTTTGATTTGAGAGTAACCAATTAGCTAGTTTGTGAACTTCACAAATTCCAATTATTACTTTGCATGAACTTTGTTTACAGCTAAAAAAAAAAACTATTTACAAAAAGTAAAGTAAATATTCATGTAGAAGAATTGGACTGAAGTTTGAGCCGGCTTTGTTGCAATGTGCTTTGAGGCGATCTTCTGGAGAGACGAGGAGGAGATAAGAGGGAGATGAGAAAGTGCTGGAGAGACAGGAAGATGGAAGACCGATAATAAAGGAGAGTAAAAGGATGATTATGGAAATTAATGGGGGTCATCATGGAGAGTAGATGGAGTGGCAGACGTGGATACAAGTTTTGAGTTCATGAAGAGATCACAGAGAACAGACAGTAAGGCACACATACGCTGCTGTTAAAATTCAGAGCCAAAAAGAAATTCATGCACAACCACACACAACACACTCACAGGCAACCGGGCGTGCAAAGATGCAATGCAGGCAAACATATGTAATCCCACATGCAGCACATGCATACTGATGAATACATCTTTATGTATAAAACACGCAGTACACAGTTCCTCTATCATTCATCAAGGCCTGCTGTTACCAGGATGAGCACATTACCCCTTCAACTCTTCCCCCTATAACTCAACATTCTGAATGAATGACCTTTGAGACAAATAATAATGCATGCTGTGAAGATTGCTTCAATTGCATCTGTTGTCAAAAGGCCAAGCCCAGATGAAAGCCAGCCAAAATGAGTGCTGTTGCCAGGCAAGGCAGCTTTGTTTTCCTCCGTCTCCAGAGGCTTGAATGTTTGCGTTTGCTTTGTCTTTCTTCTCTGCTTTTTTCTCCCTCGAACATTACAGAGTCGCTGAGTTTATGCTTGGCTTTCTTAGGTGTCTACACTTCTTTACTTCGCCAAAGGCCAATCGTGCAGAAAAGCTTAAGATGCCAGGAATGAAACATTCTTTGCACCTCTGTCATCTCTCTCTGCTATAAATGCATGTGTGAGAGAGCAATAGAAAGAGAAAGAGAGAGGTGTCACAACCGGTCAAGGAGATTATAATTATTAGCAAAGCACATTTGATACATTTTTGCATGAAATAATCTCCTTGAAATTGGTGCAACTGGCGGATCCTGAAAAATAAAAAAAATGGTTGCTGTGTTCAGTGATTTCAGTCATTTGACTTGAGATGTATAATTATCTCAAGAATATCAGTCAATTGTGCACAGTGTTATGTAAGCATGTTGGAGATAGCACAGCATCCTCTGTGAATACGCTATTTCGGATGAAAGCTAAATTGCGGGATTGTTTTAAAGGAAAACTATATAATGCAGTAGGTAAGTGAAGTGCACAGGGGAAAGAAATCTGATGTTGTTATCTGTTTTTCGTCACAGCCTGCAGTGTGGAGGATGTCTGAGAAGCTGGCACATCATCGCCCCAGATTCCTGACATCCCTGCAACACAGCAGTTGCAGCTGTGCAATGGAAGCAATGCCTTGTTTTAACTATACATACTTTTCCTTATGGTTCATTAGTGAGGACGGGACCCTTTGACTTGCACTATTGTATCTGTTTTATTTGTTTTATGTCCTATATTCACGTTGCAATGTTGGAGGAGCCTGTGACTTAAGTTTTTCATTTCCATATACTGTAGCTAATGTGCACATGACAATAACGCCTTGAATCTTGACTCTTTCCCAGCATGCAATGGGTAGAAAGCAAGAAAACACTGCATCAAACACATTCACATCTATGAAAAGTATTGAATTCCCCAGATGTCTGGCTTGCAATCTATGCACAGAAAATACATTTGAAATTATCATTGGTTTGTTTTGCACAAAGTTAAGTTGTTATTATCCTCTAACAAAAAACTAAACAAAAAACTAAATAAAAAGCACTCATATACTAACTTAGCACTTACATATTAACAAAGCACTTATATACTAACAAAGGACTGGCTTATCTAAAGCCAGTTGAGTAGCACTTAAAATGGTTTGGCTCTATGAAACCTGATGTACTTATATGATTCTGTTTTCTTCAAGGTTGTATCTTCCTGGTCGAATGCACTTATTGTAAGTCGCTTTGGATAAAAGCGTCAGCTAAATGAAATGTAATGTAATATTTTACTTGCTTTTGCTCCCCTTTAATTGCCTTGTGCATAATTTACATGTCCAACCCAACAGGGGGAAATCTGTTCTGTAAGTTCAATCAAAAACCTGGCAGAACAGGATGTCTGTTCATTGTGAGCGCAGCAAGTTCTAAAGACTCCACAGAGTCTGTCTGTGTTACAGAATGATTAGGCGGTGCCTGGGATTCGCCACTGTGCAAGCCCATCTGCACCGCAATCATTAACAGCAATGAGAGCACTTAGAAGAAAAGCATTTAGCATCCTGATGAGGCGCGACGTCCAACTGTTATGACCTATCTGTTTACCTGTATGCAACGAGAGGTAGCCTATTTTAACAGTCTCTAAGAAGCTGCCCGGCATCATAATAATTTTCAAGGTCAAGTTTTATTTTGTTTGCATGGATGTATCCTTATTTAATTTTGAAAATGATGTATTCAGGTTTTAAGAGGTTTCTATGACAACACAGTGTAATGTCATCTTAAGTGCAAGTTAGTGAGAGATTTGGAAGACAACATTAAAACAATAGAGTACATAGATAGATGGATATAGTAGATGGATATAGAAAGATATGTTATATCTTTAGAATACACATATAAAATAAAAAATACATACACTATAATAGCTCAATCTACTACTACTAAAATAAAAACATACCCTATTAGACAAGTGAGCAATAGTTACAGGACTTTTTTAATTAAAACGTAAATACAATGAGGAAAGTGTGTTTCAAATGTGCAAATTGTGCTGTGTTATTAGGGGGAAATCTTCTCTTGGTGAAGTGGGGTCTTTCCACTGGGTTACCTGTGTGGCCTCATCAGTGACACACCATTTCCCCCTGAGCAGCCCCCATTTCTCCAACAGGCAATGACCCACTCAGACCCAGGCAACACAAGCGGATGATACTCTGCAACTGCACAACATCTTAATCTCGATTTTGATGGAAGGCGTGCAGGCATGCGTTTCACCATGTGTGATAGGACAGTTCATCTTGATAATGTCAAGATGGGCAATACAATGATTATCTATAGTGCTGCGTTACATATCTATTTATATGCAAACCCACGCTCAGGCTGCTTCTGTAAAGAAAATTGCTTGTTGTGTTGGAATATGGAAGAGTATGATACATTTCTGCATTTTGAAAAAGAGTGAGGCGTGATCTATCATCCCGGAGATCAAAGAGCTCTTGCTCAATTTATAAGGCTGCAGCTG